AAAAAAAAAAAAACAATCGACTTAGAAAATAATAAAAACATTTAGATTAAAAGTTTGTTAATAATTTGTGTGTGCGTGTGCGCGCGCGCGCGTATGTGTGTATGTGTATGCGCGCGCGCATGTGTGTGTGTGTGTGTGTGTGTGCGCGCGCGCGCGCGCGTGTGTGTGTATGCGTGTGTGTATGTTCATACATTATATCTCACATTTTATAAAAGATGAATTTTAAATGCACAAATGTACAATAAAGTATAACATGTAGTATAACATAATATAATATAACATATAGTAACTAATAATTATAATTAATAAATGTTTTCATCGCCTCTCCCGCTCTCCTCCCACCCCCTTACGCTTTTTCAAAATCCACGAAGAACTATCGTCTCACTCACCCTTGATATACAAAGTCCCACGAAAGCACCATTAGAATATTCACCTCTCCCTCTTATCAACACAAAGGACTCCTTTAAGAGAAATAAGAAAAACTCACCAAAATCGTCACGTGGTTGACCACGGAAGTCTTTGCAGGAACTTGCTGCTGGATGGACGGACGGTCGCACCCCGGAACGATGCACACTCCGGTCTGGTCACATGTCAGAGCCCTCTCGTTAGATCGTACACAGTGGAATATGCGTTGATATGCGCGGGCTCGTTCATCCCTGCGACATCGGGCAGGTCACACGTTGTAGACCGCCGGCCCAACCCGTCGCTTCTGTCGTTTCGGTGGTGGTCCCCCATCCCCTTCTCTTTCTCCTCCTCGTCCTCCTTCTCCTTCTCTTTCTCTTCCTCCTCCTCTTTCTCTTCCACCTTCCCTTCCCTCGATGACTGTTACGCGCATCGCTCCTTCTCCCTTTCACGAACGTGAACCGCGCGTACAATCTACCCCCTCCTACCCTCGCCCTCTATTTCCCTTCGGCTCTCATCGGGCCACCAGAACCTTACCCATCGCCCCTAACACGCGGGGGTAAAATCCATAAGACGCGCGTCTGCGCCCTCGTGATTGCGATATAAGCGCCCTTTAACCGAGACGCATCAAACTACCCTTCTGCGTAGAGTGGCATAGGGCTTCCAATTATGTACCTAGAAGGAATAGTACACAAAGTTGAAGAGCGGTAATGTGTATTATCTTTAAGTCAGAATTTATAATCGATTTTAAATATTTAAGACTGTCTCAAATGTAGGAAAAACCTTATGAATCAAAGAGCTGTAGGACCTTTTTTTACCAATTCCGATTAATGCTAATCGATACATCGATGATTGATCGAATTTTCACGATTGATTATCACGATTGCCAACGTAAGAACTAAACATAGTTTGTCTCAGAAGAGGAAGAAAGAGAAAGAGAGAGGAGATACTCTGATATACAATATTAAACTATACTGTTGGCGTTTCTACGAGTTGATCATCGATTAATTTAACCAGAAGTTAATAAAAAAGACTCTTAGCATTTTTACATTATTTAAGACAGTCTTAAAATAACAATACTATAGACTATGAATATATATTACACTTTAGTTAAGAATTTACAGATATGGAACACTGATTGGAAATTGACTGAATTATTATGTAATAGACTCGAATAAACAAAGGAGAGGTCATCATATCGCTTAAAATATTTTATTAAATATAATTATATATAACTTGCGAATAAACAAAATAAATAAAAATGGAATTTTTTTTTAAAGGTGTAAAACTGCAAATTATAAATGTTTTATGTTGGCATAAATATTTAAGAAATATTAGGAAATATTATTAAATTGCCAATATAAAATATTTTTAATCGTTGTATATAATAATATAAATTAATAATTTTTACAATTAAGCCAGCGGCATTCCTGCTGGATTGCTAACTGGATTAGAATCTTGCCATCGTATTGGCTGCGATGTTGGTACTGATAGCAAAAAAACAAGCATTATGTGCAGCAGGCTTTATTGAAAAAAACATGTTTATTATTAAGATGTTATCACATAATTTATTTTCTAGGATGGAAACATAAAAATTTATTTTTTATTTTTTCGCCTAAAGATGCACATTTTCACAAGCCACTTAAACTGACCGTTTTAGTAATAAAAAAGACACATGATCACATGATCATTTTTGTCGCAAAACTATTAGAGCAACAACTTTATACGTGAAAAAGTACAAGAAGTATTAAATTCAACATGTTATTTGTGTTTTTCATATGTTACTTGCAGTATTAACGCGCTGAATTAAACAGTGATTAGCAGTTGTTAGATTATTCTAAGGGTGCCATCAATGCGTAACTTGTATCAATCAATGACTGTGTTCAACGAACTCAACAGTTGAGTAAGCGCTCGCTTCTATTGGTGTATTAAATCATCCAATCAGCATTTAAAATCTGGAAGAATACATCAATAGCAGCGAGCGATCGTTCAAGTTGAGTTTGCTGAACGCAGCCATTGAGTGCATCCAGAGCTTTTGTACCTGTTTGGTTTATATTTTTAGTTTTAACGGAATATGCCAATCAGATGCAAGAGCTTATTGAGCGCTCAGTGAGCAGTCGTGCTTCTGGATGCACCTAGTGTCTTTGGGCTCGATTTACATTAAAATTATAAAGCCTTGTGTCTATGGGTGCATTCAAAACGACAACTGCTTACTAAACGCTCAGTGAGCTCTTTCATTTGATTAATCTATGCTAGAAATCAGTCCGAGATTTCAGAGAAATCACATTTGAACAATTTGATCACATGATCAATGCGATTAATCAATTTTTTCTTCATCCGAGATTCTGGATCGATTTCTAGCATCGTAGACACAAGACTTAACATCAATGTTAGGATATTGACCAATTACAGTCATTACATTCTTCAGAAGAATAGCTATAATTGGCCAATATATAACTATTGTAGTTATAACTTCAGTGTAAATCAAGTCATGTAAACGTAGTCCATGTTTCGATGTTTTTAAGAACGCATTTATATTTACTATATTTAGTAGTTAAGTAGTGTGAGGATCGTTAACGTATGTCATTTGTATTTGTTCCTCTTCCTATTTTCTTTTCTTTTTTCTCTAACGCTTTATTATATATCTGTCTCGATGTTATATGTCTTAAAAGTTGCTAATAAAGCTAATAAGCGTAGTACAGCAACGTCAGCAACAAGAAAAATAGGCCTATAGATTCATTCATTTTTCATGATATTTATTCGATATAGGAGCTGAAAAGTGCAAAACGAGAACGTTGCAAGCGAAAGTAGAAGGCGAGATCGCGGTAGACGCCAGTCACTCGTATCTTTGGTGTATATTTTTAAACGCGAAGTTCGTAAACGGTAAGATTTGCTTCTCGTAAACAACCGAATAATCGAAGGCGATACGCCGTTATTAACGAGCGTTGCTAGTGGTGCTTATTGCTGCTGCTGTTTCTACAACTACGATCAATTTCGTCATTTCTCTTGCCAGTCACTGCATTACGTCATATGCATGGTCGTGTAGCTGTTATCGCAACTCGAAGACGATAAACTCTACTCACGAGTGTTGTTCCGTTCGCCTTTGTGTTTCCGCACAAATTTAGAGCCATGGGCGATTCCTCGTTAAAGGGTAAATATTTCAAAGTTGCAACTGTATACTGTTTAGGGAGTTTAGATCAATTTGAGGCATGAAATATTCGAGAAATTCTTTTTTATTGGCTTAACTATTTGGTTATAATTGTTTATGCCATTACTATATGCAATTTGATGTTTTAGAAGATACTGAGATAATTATAAACAAAGAAGAATGCTATGAGGTAATAGATGAATGCACGGAAGTAGAAGCATCTGAAACGGCAAAAGATTCACAGGTACAAGATTCACAGGTACAAGATTCACAGGTACAAGATTCACAGGTACAAGATTTGCAGGCACAAGATTCACAGGTACAAGATTCACAGGTACAAGATTCGCAGGTACAAGATTCACAGGTACAAGATTCACAAGCAGAGGTTACAACTTGTCCAAAATCAGATACAATGCAACAAGATCTTGAAACTGACACTGGTAAAATACAGAAAGTTATTC